AAAATAGAAAAAATTATCTGGGCATGGTGGCGCATGCCTGTAGTCCCAGTTACTTGGGAGGCTGAGGCAGGAAGATCGCTTGAGCCCAGGAGTTTGACGTTGCTTGTGAGCTAGGCTGACAGCACGGCACTCTAGCCCAGGCAACAGAGTGAGACTCTGTCTCAAAAAAAAAAAAAAAATGTCTGTTACTAAAGCAGAATAAATGATTAAGGAGATCTGTCTATTTATCTGTAGGTCACAGATTTTTTCAGAGACACATAATGATCAGAGCTGTCAAAGGACGAGATAGGTTGGCATAGGAGGTAGTAAGTTCCCCATTGCTGGGAGTATTCAAGGGTAGTTTAGAGAACCATCAGGGCTGTGCTATGTGGACAGTCTAAACTAGCTCTGTCTCAAAGGACTTTCTGCTACAATGAAAATGTTCTGTAGCTGCGCCGTCCAAGACAGTGGCCACCAGCCACATGTCTCTCAGTGAGCACTTGAAATATAGCTAGAGTGACTGAGAAACTGAATTTTAAATTTTATGTATGTTTAACTGATCTATTTTTTTATAGTTTTTATTTCTTCAAACAACTCCTAGAATGTAACTGATCTAAATTTAAATAGCTACAGGTGGTTAGTGGCTACCATTTGGATAGCTCAGGTCTCAATGCCAAGGCTCCATTAAGTGGCTGAGATGCTGTAAGTCAATCAAATTCATGTGCAGGTCCTAGCAGCTGGTGCCAACTTTGGTGGGTATGTTGGGGTGGGATGGGGCATGCTGAAGGTGCCCCTGGAAGCTGTAAGAAACCAGTTCAGACAAGAGCCTCCATTTATTCCAGGTATGTGTTGCAAACTGGGGACTCAGTGGTGAAGATAGGCATAGGCCTGCCCCCCCAGAACTCATCACTTATGGTGGGGACAGGCAAGTACACAGGCAGCTACAGGGGTGCATGATCAGGGCATGAAGAAGTGCTGGGGGCTAGAGAGCCAGAGGGGGTGCCTAATGCAGCCTAGATGGAGGAAATCGGGGAGCCTTCCAAGAGAAGGTGATGTCTACGCCAAAATAAAAGGTTGAATAAATGATAGGTGATCCAGGTAAAGCAGGCAAGGGAGGAAGAATGCTTTGGGTAGAGGAAAGAGCATGCACAGCAGCCTGGAATGAGAGAGCAAAACTGCGGATCTGAGGAACTGAAGTCCCGGTTGGGACAGCACAGTGAGCAAGGAGGATGTGGTGAGAGGAGGCTGGACGCTAGACGGAAGGACTCACAGGCCTCATGGGCCACCCCAAGGGCAGAGGGGAGCCAGGCCAGGTGTTGGAGCAAGGGAGTGAGGCTGTGAGGATTGCATTTAGAAAGACCCCCCAGATGCTGCTATGGAGAGGGAGTAGAGGGAAGTCAGGTATGGAAAGTGCCAGTGGCCTGGGCTTGGTGGTGGCAGTGGCGCTGGGAGATAGGCACCTCACCTGCCTGGTCCTGCTCCCCGTACCACGTGTTCCAGTTGCCCACGAGCGAGCAGGGGTAGTCCTCATCCAGGTGCAGTTTGGGCAGCACAGCCTCCCTGTGGGAGGGGCAGAGAGAGGGGGAAGGGCTCATACCAGCCACCAGGGCCCCTGAGATAAGGGTCCCAACTCAGGCCCCCAGGGCTGGGCCTCAGTCTCCCCATCTCTAAGATGCAGAGGCTGGACAGGACATCCTGGATTTGTGCAAGGACAATGGGGCAGAGGATGTTCTGAGGATCTGCTGGGATGGAGTCCCTCATGTGAGCAGGGCCTGGAATGGGTGGATGGAGGAGGGTGCTCACGTCAGGCTGTTGTAGGCGTCCAGACACTCGGGCTTCACATTGTGAACTGCAACAGAAGACAGAGAGCGGGAAGTGAAGCAGAGTATTGCAGGGCAGGGGAGTGGGAGGGGGGTGACCATTAAAGCCAGGACTCCTGGGATAGCTCCGGATGTTCCAGACCCTCTCATCTCCATGCTGGGGCCTCACAGGCCCCCAGAGGCCCTGAGAGGGTAGGGCTGGCCAGCTCAGCAGCCACTCACACTGGATCTTGTAGAGGTTGCTGGTCTCCTTCTTGGACAGCAGGGTGGAATGGGCATCTTTCCGGGGATCCACTTTGTGAACAAAGAGGGAGCGGAACCAGCTGCCTTCATTGTCCTTGGAATAGAAACTGCAGGACACAAGAGTTCAGAGGGACATACAGAGGCCGGGGGAGCCTCAGCAATTCCATGTGCTCAGATAGATGTCCTGCTCCCCCAGACTGGTGACCCACATTTCTGGGAATGGGGCCACGGAATCTCATGGCAGCTCCAGAGTGTAAAATGCTATTGGAACTCCCCGAGCAGACCTGGTCCTTTCTACAGAGATTCCAGCTGCCCCGCTGGCTTCTAGAAGCTTTGCACGGCCTCAGGAGGTCAGCCCCACCTCCTACCTCCTCTCCAGCCTCCCTGCCTCCACTTTACCCCCTTCCAAAGGGTCCTACTCTTGGGTCACACAACTGCAGCCTCTTGCCAAGAGTATCAACCCCACCTTGCCTGATGCCCAAAGCTCTTAGCAACCCAACCTATCTTGTCAGCCTCCCCTCCTGTCCCCTCACCTGTATACTCCACTCTGCAGGTGTGCTCTGCCCTGAACACATCAGGCTTTTACTCTGTGCTTTCTTTGCAAATTCTGTCCCCTTTGACAAGAAGGTTGCTCTCACCATCTTCCCCAGTGCTCACACTGCACTTGGCCTATGTCACTTCCCAGACCCCACAAACAGATAGCCAAAGACAAATAAGCCTTGTCCCTAAGGAGGTCACATTCCACTGGAAGAAATGGCCCTAGAACACAATTACAGCCAGGGGTCTCTGAAAGAGCCCAGGTGAGTAAGTCTTAACTCTGCCTCTGGCAGCCTGGGCAAATTCTCCAGGGGAAGAGGTGAGCTGGCCAGTCCCTTAGGCCGATTTGGCAGACAGAGGGGGTAAAAGGCATTGCAAGGCAAGATGCATTCATTCATCCAGCCAACACCTGCCCTGCCCACGCCCACAGGGTGTTGTGAGAATGCATGAATCGATGAATAAATCAATGAATGTGATTGTGTGCTTTGCCCATGAGAACTGTGGTTCAGAGATTCAGAACTGCACCTCCTCCCCCAGCACACTGACACAAGGTCCCAGCAGGGGCGGGGCTTATTTTGAGGTTCCCAGAGGCTACCAATCTTCTTGCCCCACAGCCTTGGTGCAGCTTGTAGGCAGGCCCGAAAAGCAAGTCTCCCGCTGAAGGGATGATTCCTAGGCAGGGAGCCTGGTAGAGGAGTCCCTGAGTTTCCGCAAGCCTTCTCCCTTTTCAAGCCTTTTCTGTGGCTAGAACACATTATCTTGCAAATAAAAAAGTTACTTTTTTTCCAAAATATGGAACAGCCATTGGGACTGATGAAATTGAATCATCATCTTAAAGTGGTGATCCATTTGTATGAGCATAGACAAGGATATGAGATTTGTCCCAAATTGTTAATACTGCTTACTTGGGAGAAAGGAGAGGGAGATGGTTAGATTTTTCTTTATTCATTATAATTTTTTGTGAAGCTAAAAAACATGTTTTAAGCATTTCTGAATTCATGGGTTCTTTCGGTCATTGTGCATGTGTTTGCTTCATGGCAGAAAGACGATTATCATTGGATGCGTAGGGTGGTCTGTGAAATTTTTCGAGCAGAATACAGGCGCCTCTGAGCCAAGGGTCTGGGATGAACTTTCCAGTTGCATGATCTCACTGACTCTGTGCAATGATCTTGCAGTGCTGGTACTCCTAGTGTCCCCATTCTCAAGAGGATAAAATAAAAAGGAGTTCAGGGAGTTCAACGAACTTGCCCAAGGTCACACAGCACATCAGGGGACAGAGCTGAGGCTAGAACTGACCCAGAGCTCTTTCCTCTAAAGCCAGCCCCCACCTCGGGTCTGGCCCCGAAGGACCTGACTTTTGGTTTGAATGTAGAGGGGCTGCTTCTCCTGGAGGGGGTGGTGGCAGAGAGGAGAGTGGCTCCTACTATTTGTCAACCAAGACCTTTGCTCCAGTATGAGGCTTCCAGTAATCTATTAACATCAGTACTGACCAAGATAAACAGCCAATGGCCAGCCCTGAAGACAGAGCCCGGGCCCTGGAATCCAGTGGGGGAGAAAGGGAGTCCAGTCTTCCCACCACTCTCTAATCCTTCCTGCCTATGGGCCTCAGTTTCCCCATCTGTCAAATGAGCAAGGCAGAACAGCCCATCTAAAGATCTTTTCTACAGGTAAAATCCAAAAAGGGACTTGTCATAGATCCCAGTGCAAGGTCTTGAGGATAAAACAGAAAGCAGTTCAGGGAGTTTAAGGAACTTGCCCACGGTCACACAGCACATCAAGGGGCAGAGCTGAAGTAAGAACCAATCTAAAGTTCTTTCCCCTAAAGCCGGCCCCCACCTCAGGTCAGGCCAGAGCCTCAAGTGCGTTATTTTCAACAGTTCGTATTTTACTTTCTCAGTGAAATTGAAATGTTCCCCTACCCTTGACTTCCCCAACCCCTCACCTGTTCCGCAGCTCCATCTAAAACACTATGCCATTTTTTTTTTTCACTTACTATGTGCTTTGTTTATGGTCTGTCTCCCCACGAGAAGCAGCCCATGAGCAGGGACCGTGTGTCCATACTGCACGCCCAGTGCCTGCGAGAGTGCTGGGCACGTGCCCCATGCTCAGTCTGTGTTTGGGAAATGAATGAAGGGGTGGCAGCTGGCGGGGGGCCAAGACACAGTCGCATGAGAATGATGAAAGCTGGAAGGTAAGAAAGGGAAAAAAGGGCAGACCGTGGCCCAGAGTGTATACTAGGGGCCCCTTTCCATTCCCAACACCCGCAGCAGAACTAGTGCTTAAGAGCACAGGCTCTGGCCAACCCCGGGTTCTAATGCCAGCTCAGTTTCATCTTTCTGAGCCTCATTCTCCTCATCTGTAAAATAGGAGCCAGCGGATGGGCCTTTCCGAGAAAGGGCCTGACAATATCACTACAGTGTTCCTACCTAACTCATCTCCCCACTCCTACTTTTCCTAATCTGCCCATCATTTTTGGAAAGCACCATTTTTGTGATGCCATTCCTGTGCTCAAAAGCATTCTATGGCTCCCTACTGCCTACAAAAAAAGACCAAACGTCTCCACTTGGGATTCTAGCTCTAATATATTTTGCTGGGCTTTCTAGAGTCAACTCCCTTTTAAATTTGGCAACCACGGAGCCAGGATTCCCTACTGAAGTGGTTCTCAGATTAACAGTATCTGTATCACCTGGAAATTTATAAGAACTTCTCAGGCCCCACCCAACACCTATGGTAACAGAAAGCGTGGAGGTGGATCTAGCAACCTCAATTTTAACAAGCCCAGCAGGAGATCCTGAGGTTTGAGAATCTCTGCTCTAGAGCAGTACCAATTTCATCTTTTTGTCACGTAATCTCAGTAAATCATCCCCCAAATGCCAAATATCCTGGTATCCATTAGGCCTGGAAAAACAGTACAGCTTCGTCCAATCTGTGGGGTCTGCCTCAGCTGGACCCATCCAGCCCCTTCCCACAAAAGCATCTCTCGTTTCCTCCTCAACTCGACCATCATTTTCACATGGATACGTCTTGTTTCCCCAGCCATGTCGGAAGCTACTAGCTAATGTCCTTCCATCCCCAGGGTACCTAGCATGGTGCTTTTGGATGTGAGTTGCTCAATAAATAATTGTCCCAGATGAGAACTTTTCAGTCTCTCTTTAGGAAAAGTTACCGTAGGTGACACATTTGCACTGCCAATAGGGATCAACAGTCTGCTGCCTCCCCACATGAAACCACTCCAGAACATTATAGATTTATATGCTGGGATATTATGGATTAATATGCCAGGAAGCTTGGCTTCATGCCCATTCCAAAACACTCTTCTCATCTGAGTTGGCTGACTTTAGAAAGGGGCCATGCTTCTGCTTATTGTTCCCAAGGTTATGTCTTTAGCTAGAAGAACTAAAGTTCTATTAACAACAAGATTACTGGTGCAGCAGTAACAATAACTGCTGTTTACAGAGCACTTTCTGTATGCTAAGAGCTAATCCTCACAAAATGTTTTTGAGAAAAATAAGGCTCGGTGATGTCCCACATCTCATCCAAGGATGGTTAATCAAGAGGCTCTCAATCCAGGTCCACCTGCGTTCAAAGCCCACATTCTGTTCCCACCCCAGCAGCCTCATTGCCCCCAAACGTCAGAGGCCAGATGGGCCACAGCTGATCCCACTAGTGACTCCAGAGAGGTATGGGGCAGGAGGGAAGGTTTCCAGGTATCCAATGTAGAACTAAAGTGTAAGTTACTGCAAAGCAGTCCTTGAGGGACTTGATAAGTAACCCAAGTGTCTTCACAGCAATCCTGCAACACACACCAAGCAGGGATCACCATCCCCACTCTACAGAGAAGGAAACCAAGGCTGACAGGTTCAGTGGCTCATCCAGGGTTACCCAGGAAGTGAGGAGCAGCAGGCTGTCTCTAAATCTGCTCCTTTTGTAGCCTCTGGGTATTTGCCACACAGGTGGTTCTACCACCAGCTATTTTCCCCTGCCTGGATTTCTTCATCTGGATAACAAGGGGCTCAAAACAGATGATCTCCCTAGGGCCCTTTCGGCCCTGAGATTATGTGGGTCTCATGCAGAAATTGCTTGAGACACAGGCTTGGGCAAGAGGCAACACTTCCTGGTTGTTTACCAAGTGCTAAAACACTTCACAACCTCGGCCTCTTTAATCCCCAACAACTCTATGAGATATATGCTGTTTTATTACCCTCATTTTACAGATAAGGAGCCTGAGGCTTGAAGAGGCCAAATGACTTGTCCAAGGTCACCCCCACCCAGAACGGCTGAGTTAGATTTGTTGGTGTCAGGCAAACTCCAGCTTTGTTCCACAATGTCAGCTTTGCCCTTAATTACTGGGCAGTCCAGGTAGGGGAGGCATGTGCCCACTCCTCTTTCCCAGCTGCCCAAAGCCCCGCTGCACCATGCTCTAACATCTCATGGTAAGCGCTAACAGAATTCTGCAGGGCAGGAGGGGCCCCTGCTTCCTTTCCACAGGTGGGGGAACTGGTGGCCTCACCTCTTTGGCAAATGTTCTTTGTGCATACACTGTCCTTAGCCCCGTGGGGGTTGGGGAACTGAGGAAACAGAGAAAAGTGAGATCACAGTCTAGTGAGAGAGACAGGCAAGCACCAGGCCATAAGTGTACAGGGTGATAAGCGCAGAGATGGGGCGAGTACAGGGTGCTAGAGACGGAGGAGCGAGGGGCTGTCTAGGGCTAGTCAGGGAGGCCAAGCCCTGCCTCAGCCCAGAGCAGGGCCAAACAAAAGCCCAGGCTGAGCACATGGCCCAGCCTCTCCCCCAGCCTCTCCCAGGAGGCCACCAGTTGTGGTGCAAAGTGCACGGTAAGTCAGGAGACTTGGGTCCCAGATCCAGTGCTGCCACTGCACAGCAGGGAGAGTGACCTTGGACAATTCCCACCCCCTCTCAGGTCTGTTGCCCCACCTGTATAGTTCAGGGTGGGCAGCCATGGTCCTTGGGGATGCCCCACTGCTCCCCTGACCTCATCTCTTCCCCCCAGAACTTCCCAAGGGAGGAGCTCCCTCTCTGAGAAGCCCCCAGTGGCAGGGCTAAATCACAGGCAAAAGCCTGGGAAAGGGACCATTCCTCCTGTCCTCTGCCTCCTCCCACACTCCAGGGTCCAGCCCCTGCCCCTCTCACCATCCTTCATTCTCTGCCCAGACCCCAGTCCCCACCAGGACAAAGACCTTGCCCATACCTTTCTCACCTCCCCCGTTCTCTGTCCAGACCCTCCCTAGGCCTAGATCTTGGCTCCACCTCCAGCCCCTAGATTCCAAGCGTGGAGTCTCAGCCAGCCCCTCCCCCCAGACCAGACCCTTGCCCTGCCCCCGCTCCCCCCACTACGCGCGTCCGCCGCCGCCAGGCTGGGCTCTCACCGCGCCGCAGCTGCAACGTCCCCGGCGCGGGGCCCGGAGCCCCCCAGCCACCGCCGCGCCGCCGCAGAGATGCTGCACAGCCGCGGAGCCATGTTGGAGCGGCGAAGGTTGCAGGAAGCCCCGCCCCAAGCCCGGTGGTGGAGGCGGGACATGCATAAGCCCCGCCCCCGCCGGCTTGACCTGCTCCCTCTGCGCCCAGCCAGGGGGGCGTTGCGCCTGGGCGTCCCCCGACTCCACAGGTGCTGGACGGAAGTCGGGATTGTTGTTCTCTGAGCCCCTGCAGCTCTGCTGCTGACTAGCCTTGTGACCTTGAGCAAGCCCCTTGCCCACTCTGGGCCTCAGTGTCTACCTCGGTAAAATGGGAGCGTTGAACAGTAACTCCAGGGGTTCTTAACCGAGCAATCCAGGATGTGCAGAAGGTCCGTAAGCCCCCTGAAACAGCATACCAGGTTGTGTGCGCCTGTGAGTTTCTCTGGGGAAGGGCGTCCACAGGCAGGGTTTATCACACGATGAAAGGAACAAACTCCCTACCAAGTGAAGGCAGATGGGCAAAGCTTGGCTCGCGGGACGCTGTCCACCATCTCTTTTTCCCTTTCCATCCCCTTCTACCTTCTCTGGCTGAGCCTCATGGGGCCTCACACCCTCCTGCCCTGCCCACCTCTTTTGCTCGCCTCCAAACTCATCCCTTCGCAGCCCCCAGATGGCAGACACGAGCAGGGGTGGGGAGCCTGCAGACCCCTCAGGGAGGCCCAGGAGCCTTATCACTTTCAAAGGGGCAGGGACACACTTCCCAAAAGAATATGCACCCACCGACCAGTGGTTCCCTCCTGGTATGCTTGGGGTACGGGAGTGGAGAGCTTAATTTCCTGATTCTTTCAGCAAATATTGAGTCTGCCAGGTTGGGCCTTGTGCGAACGAGCCCCAAACCTCTTGGAGACACAAAATCAAAGCAAATAACCAGTGACCTTTTTTTCTTTTTCCCTGCTCTGTCGCCCAGGCTGGAGTGCAGTGGCGGGATCATAGCTGCAGCCTCCAACTTCTGGGCTCAAGTGATCCTCTAGCCTAAGCCTCCTGATTCACACCACCCCAGCTTCACCACTGACCCTGACTTTGAGTCCCTCCAGGGCAAAGACCTTATAAGAGCCACTCCTTTCCCTCACTTCTCCTGCCTGACACATTAAATATTTACTGAATAAGTGAAAAAATTTGCACAAAAATATTTTTGCTAATTGTGATAAAGGGTATGAAGTATTTAATAGTATGTAGTAGACTTATAATGGGGGTTAGGGGAGAAGAAGGGAGGTCCTATAGAGATTTCTAGTGTCCGTGATGACTTTTATAAGGAAATTAGGTTGGAACAATGATAATCTTTTCTTGTGTTTTCTAAAGTTGCTACAAGGAGCATGTATTATTTATGTGATTTTTTTTAAAAAAGGAAACTGAAAACTGCAATCAATTGTCATAAAGGAGCAGAACCATCAAAATAAATGCAATGAAAACAACAGCGGGGAGGCTACATTGTATTCATAGCTTAAGCAGAAGGCTGTGAGCCCCAAGCTTGCCCTGCTTGGTAACAAAGTAAAGCACAAAGAGGGCGTCAGAGACAGGACAGGGCCCAGCTGCTCCTTGGAGTTATCGAAGGCACTAAAAGGCCTCATTCTAAAAGTCACTGTGATCTCGGCTGGGTCCCTAGTGACAGCCACTCAGGAAAAACCCAGATGGGTAGATGGAGGCACAGCACATGGAGATGTTACCGGTGTCATGTGGTGGAAGCTGGTCTTCCCTTAGGGACCCAGTGTGACAGGCTGAATGTGAAGTAGAAGCAACCCCTAGCAGGCCTTCTGGGAGGCCTGACTTTGGACCTGAGCTGAGCTTCAGAGGATGAGGAGGAGTTTGCTGGAAGACCGAGGCAAGGGCAAGGGTAACCTCAGGGGCGCAATGTGCACACAGCGTGTGAAGGGGCACCCAGGAAGAAAGTACAGTCAAATATTATCAAAAGGTAGAGATTATATGGCGGTAGCTTCTCACTCAGGGCAAGGAGTAATTTTCTAACAGTGGAATGGGCCACCTGGGTGACCTGTCACTGAATAATGCCAACAGAGGCTACATGTCTGCTCATGAGCCATGTGGTAGAGAGCATTTGGCAATCAAGCCACAGGAAGCCAGACCTATGGACAGGGAAGGGCTGGCCCTGCTGGTGAGAGTCTCTCCCCAGAGCCTTGGTGTTTCTGGCTGCCCCACCTTCCTTCTGCGGTGGGGAGAAAGAGGGAGGACTGACCCACAGCCTCCCCCTGTGGGTCTTGGCATTTCCAAGAAGCGAGAGATGGGAAATAGGGCTCCCTCCTCATCCTGTATGAACCACAGTGTGGCAGCTGACTGGAAGGGCAGCCTCAAGGTCCCAGCCCTTTCCCCAGCCAGAGTGACCAACTTATCCCAGTTTACCCTGGACTTTCTCAGTTAAGCACTGAATATCCTCTGGCACAGGAAACCCCTCAGCCCCTCAGTCCTGGGGAAACCGGAAGGTTTCATCATCCCAATTATGGCCCTAGTTCCTTCCCCAGGACACACACGCACTCCATCCCAGCATCTTTTCCTTGATTAAACCTATTTGCCCTGCTTGAAGCAACGTGGAGGGGTGGACCTGGGCTCTCTTTGTGGTATTCAGTGACATGCAATGCTGTTTAACTGAGCACCTGGTAAGAACCTGTCCCTGCCCCATAGACTCTGCATTCTGAGCAGTTGGATAAAAATTCCACAAAGAAGGAATTAGACCATTTCCAATGACTGTGGAGTAAATTACCCCAAATCTTCGCAGCTTGAAACAATAAACATTTACTATCTCACACAGTTCCTGTGGGTTGGGAGTTCTGGAGTGAGTGGTTAGCCGGGATGGTTCGGGCTCAAGGTCTCTCGCAAGGTTGCAGTCAAGATGTTGGTTGGGGATGTGGTCATCTGAAGACTCGACTGAGGCTAGAGAATCTGCTTCCAAAGTGGGTCATTCACACACCTGGCAGGTTAGCGCTGGTTGTTAGTGGGAGGCCTCAGTTCCTTGCCACGTGGACTTCTCCGAAGGGCTGCTTGAGTGTCCTCACTGCACAGTAGCTGGCTTCCCTCAGAGCCAGTGATCCAAGAGAGAGTATGAGAGGGCTTTCAAGCATGTTTATGACCTGGCTTTGGAAGTCACACTCTGTCATGTCTGCACATCTCATTGGTTAGATATGTCAGCCTTGCTCAGCGGGAGTGGGCTGTATGAAAGTGTGAATATCAGCTGGGCACAGCGGCTCACGCCTGTAATCCCAGCACTTTGGGAGGCTAAGGCGAGAGGCTCGCTTGAAGTCAGGAGTTCAAATCCAGCCTGAACAACATTGCGAGACCCTTGTCTCTACAAAAAATAAAAAAATTAGCCAGACATTGTGGTACATGCCTGTAGTCCCAGCTACTCAGGAGGCTGGGGCAGGAGGATCACTTGAGCCCAGGAGTTTGAGGTTGCAGTGGGCTATGATGACACCACTATACTGTAGCCTGGACAACAGAGCGAGAGCTGACCCATCCTTTCCTTCCCCATTCCTTCCCAAAGCTGCCGTCTTGGAATCCACCTTCATAACTCTTTGCCAAGGCCTGCTGTCCAATCCACAAAATGAAACGAGAGGAGCCTTGGACAGAGACAGATGGGCAGAGCTGGGCGGAGAGGAGCAGGCAGGTTCATAAGTGTAAAATATTGACAAACCTGCCATCATCTATTCCCTGGGACAAATAGATCATCACCAAATGGGCTGTAGATGAGCAAAGAGACAAATTACCCAGCTGTGGCAGTGTCACCTGCTCTTTGTTGATGGGCTTTTACACTCAGGCTCAATTGCTCTCTGAGAACTGTATCCCGCAGCTCCTATGGGACCCCAAGCTGGAGGGACAGAGACAAGAAAGCTTTTGTGTCTCAACTGGGGCATGAGTCACAAGGTCAAGTCCAAGCCTTTCTGTACTGTGTATCATATGCAAATATGAATTATGTGACTTTGACACAGTGCCACATAAAAACATTAACAAAGCACCACTGCATGTATAAATTACAAACAATACAAATGCCAGGTAAAAAAAATTAACTAGTTAAGTATTGATCTATTTCGAAGCTGTGAGAGGACCAGGAGGAGCTATCTTCCTGCAGAGCGACACATACCTTCGCTGCATCGAGGTGCACAGCTACACCCTATTTTAAAAAATTAAAAAAAAAAATTTCGAAGCTGTGGGAGTAGAATGAGTTATAAACTGTGTTTATGCTATTGCCACAAGGTGGCGCCACTTTAGCCGGAAAATAATTGCCCGCATCGTGTCGTTACTGAGCCAGTCACACTGTTGGCGTAATTCGGACCCTAACGACCGCTTTTTGTGATTATTGAGATGTTATTTGGTCATTCAGTATTATAAAACACTTTAAGAAGCTATAACAACATCATCCAAGCATTCGTGGAGATTCTAGTGCTGAAAAACATGCCCCCAAATCAATACCTTTGGAGTGAATATTGGACATGATAAAATACCGTGAAGAAGATCGAACCAGCTCTGTGACAGGTGGTGTTGTTAATTTAGGAGACTGCCCTCGGGTAGAGATAGTGCCTCAAAGATACAAAGCAGGATCAAAAGCAAAAATGTGGTACGATGGTTGTGCAGATTTATGAGCAATGTGAGTGCGTTTCATCTCCTACTTGTATTCTTGGAATACAAAGTTTTGAATCATATGAAGTTTACAGAAGGCATCCTTCTTGTAAAATATGGCTCCCTCGACCTCCCCAGCTATCCTGCCATACATACAGCTGCTGGAGCCCACTCCTGGAAGGCAGCTGCTCTGGGTTGAATTGTGTCTCCACAAAAAAGAGATGTTGATGTCCTAACCCCCAGTACCTTGGAATGTGACCTTATTTGGAAATAGGGTCTTGACAGAGATAGTGGAGTTAAAATGAGGTCATTAATGTGAGCCCTAATCCAATGACTGATGTCCTTATAAAAAAGGGGAAATTTGGCTGGGCATGATAGCTCACACTTGTAAGCCTAGCACTTTGGGAGGCTGAGGTGGGAGGATTGCTTGAGGTCAGTGTTATGCAAGGCCACCCCTTTCAGTCAGGAGTTCGAGACCAGCCTGAGCAAGAGTGAGACTC